GGTCCCCTGAGCACCGCCAGGAGGAATTTCTGAGTGCAGAGCCAGGAGTAACCCCTGAGCATTGCTGGGTGTGACCCAAAGCAAAAATAATAATAATAATAAAAATAACAATAATAATAAAATAAAAATTTTTAAAAGAACATTCTACTTCCTTCCTAGGAAAGTCACTGAGGAAAGGAGAAATAACACCTAATAGCTTTCTGGAACGTTACATAAGGTGAAGAAAGACAAAGGCACGTAAGTAATTTTCTCCTATTCAGAGAACTTCTGTGATGTAACTAACTCTAAAAACACTAAGGAAGAGAGCCAAACCATAGTAAAGTGAGTAGGGTATTTGCCTTGCATGTGGCCCACCCTGGTTTGCCAAGTATCTCCTATGATTCCCCAAGACCACCAGGAGTGTTCAGGAATATTCCCTAGCACAGAGCCAGGAAGAAGTTCTGAGTACAGCTGGGTGTGGGGCCCCCAAAAAAGAAAAAAGAAACACTATCAGAGAGTACATGAGATGCCCAATGAAGCCACCTTTTCTTCCAAAAAGAGCAACTCACTTTCCTTCTACTTTTTCGAGGGGTTGGGCTTCCCAAGTGGTACTCAGGGATCTTGGGAGCCTTATTCCATAGTTCTCCGCCAACCAGGTAGATGGTTCAATGTGAGGGCTCCAAGATGAGATAATGTTCAAATCTGGTGGAGCTCACAGTTACCCCAGTCACCCCCAGTCAGGGCTGCACCCAACAATGCTCCAGGGACCATGTGGTCTGGGAACCTAGCTGGGTGGGCTGCACATCAGACCTGATCCTTAACTACAGTCCTCTGGCCCCAGCCATAGGCTCACTTCCTAACTCAGAGATGCCCTAACCAGTATCTGGAGTGACCACTGTGCTCAGACGGGCCTCATACCCACAGCACAGCAGTTTTCACAGCCTCTGGAAAGGAGATTTTTGAAAAGCAACTGGGAAGCTCCTTTAAATTATACAAGGGATCATCCTCATTTCATCCTATTTTATTTTCCAATCCTTCTAGGAAAAAGTCACTATCACTGTCCCTGTCCTCCCTTTGTTCATTGATTTGTTCGAGCAGGCCCAGTAACGTCTCCATTATGACACTTGTTACTGTGTTTGGCATATCAAATACATCATGAGTAGCTTGCCAGGCTTTGCCATGCGGGCGAGATACTAAGCTAGGAAAAGTATCTTTGTTAAAATATTTAAAACAGAAAATCTTTTTCGGGTATTCAACTTGAATCCACAGTGAGAAAACAGCTGATGTTTACAGAGACAAGGAGGCAGAGATTCAAGGAACTTCAAAGAAAGCCAGGAGAGAGTACTCAGCCCTCCGGAGAAGGATTTCTACAGGAAAGCAATGAGTAGCCAATTGGAAAAACATACAAGAAAAAAACAAATGAGTAAAGTGACAGGAGATTCAACTTCCTAAAAGAACGAGGGGACAAGGCAGACCTTGTATTACACCTGAATTTAAGCTTCAAATTAGAAGCAGAGAGGTATAAAGCAGAGAGATGTGATAAACCTGAGAAAGAGAAAAACAGAAGAAGCTGTTTCAAAAGTCAGAAACAATAGAAGCGTTCTGCAGTATTTTCATGGGACAAAGAGCTCCAAACATTCTCAAGTCGCAGTTTGGCTGGCTAGAATAGCAATGGTGATGAGCCCCTATTAAAGAAAATGACACACACTTTCTCCAAAAACAAAATACAATATTCTGGAGGCTTAAAAACATATATCCTATTGTTTACTAACTACTATGTTCTTGTTTCCTACATTCTCCAGTAATCACAGAAATCACAGTAATCACAGGTACTACATAGCCTTGTTTTAAAGACTCCCCACTTAGGTTTATCTGATAACTTCCAGGTCTTCCTTATTAGCTCAAGAAAAATATATTCAACATCCCTTTGCTGATCTTTATATTTTACTTAAAGTATGAGATATTTAAATATATTACTTAAAATATTTTTGTTTTACTTAAAATATCATGTGCATCACAGAGCTAAACAAAATTCTGCCCTTCAAAAAGTCAGAGAACAAGCTGTTTAAAAATATAATAATGATAAACAGAGAAGCCAAAGGTATGGTTACCAAGGGACTATAATTCAAATCATTACTCTGGGACACTTGAAAGATCTAATCTAACCACAATACAGAAAAATATGTGGTGTCTAATTATAGAAATAAGCTATCTACATCTAGGATATTCTGAGAAAAAAGCAAATTTATGATAATATTTATAATAAAGTAACACCTTTAATACTGAATTATATTTGCTTAACTGGTATTATAATTAAGACATTTAACAGAAACATGTATAATTAGGGCAAAAATGCATTTATCAGATTTTTGCAATTGTTGAATAAATGTAATATAGAATTAGGATTATTACATTTTAATGTATTCATACATCTACTGAAAATTGAACAAAAATCAGTTTTATAAAAGTTACTTTTTAAAGCCACTTTTATTTGCACAATTACGCCTTTTGAAGATTCATTTTCTTTTATTTACCACATATTTGCTCCTCACTCACTCCTTACTCATCCATTCCAATGAGTAAGGAGAGGCTGCTAAAACCTCAGGGCTGGGACGAATGGAGATGTTACTGGCGCCCGCTCGAGCAAATGGATGAACAATGGAATGACAGTGACACTGACAGTGTTATTTGCTCCACATTCAGAAACTCTGCTATTCTGCAACTTCAGTAGCTATACTGGAAAACACATACAGCTATGAAGCCATCTCTAAGCGCCTTTTATTGATGTATTTAATGAATCTCAATAATAATTCCATAGGGTCCTGAAAAATGCAAGGCTAAGAGGACATGTCTTTTTGTGGTCAGTCCTGAACCAATCCCTGCTTCCACACAGTCTTCAAACATAGCCAGATATATACCTACTGCTGGGGTAACTCAAAGAGTCCCCAATATTTCAGAGACTGCTGGGTAACTCAGAGAGTTCCCAGCATATGGTCAGTTACTGCTGGGGTAATTCAGAGAAACCCCAACATACGGCCCAAGCAGTACCATATCCTCAGGCCTATGCCTGAGACCCAATTTGCTTAGTATCACTGGGAGGGGTCTCTGGGTATCCTTTACACAGCTTGAGGAACCCAAATAATAATAATGATAATGATAATAATAATAATAATAATTTCTTAGGTAAATGCTTTTCAATGCTCTTACAACTTCAAAATTAACATCCTTTTAAAAATCTGGTACAGCTGAGTTTCAATATATTTTGACAAAATTGTATCCTTAAGTTAAATTTATATTTCCTGATCATGACTTAAATGTGATATATTATTCCCATGCTACAATACATTTAATATTTCCAGACTATATTCTGTTTCCTAAGAATACTTTAGTATGATAAAAGTCATGGGACGTGATTTTTCAGAGAACTCACCGGACCTCATATTCACTATATGACATCCTTGATTCCAGGTTCCTACTGAATTTTTCAACAGTAATAAAAAAATTCTATGTCAGGGGCTGGAGTGATAGCACAGCGGGTAGGGCGTTTGCCTTGCACGCGGCCGACACGGGTTCGATTCCCAGCATCCCATATGGTCCCCCGAGCACTGCCAGGAGTGATTCCTGAGTGCAGAGCCAGGAATAACCCCTGAGCATCGCCGGGTGTGACCCAAAAAGCAAAAAAAAAAAAAAAATCTATGTCATGTAGGGCCATATATTATGTGTTACATGTTTGATAACCCCAGTACAAAGGTCAAGGCATTTGTCTTGCATGCAGCCAACACTGGTTATGTTCTCCACACCACATATGGTCACCCTAGCACCACGAGCAATGACCCCTGAGCGAAGAGCCAGATATAAGCCTTGAGCACAAAAGGCAAGTAACATGGATATTTCTAATATTTTGTAGTTATTTCATGTCCACATTCTATTGCCCTGTGGCAAAATTAAATTCACTAAAGAAGGTTATAAATAGTAAAAGATGCAGGTTTAAATACTGTGTCTCCATATTCACCTTAACTCATTTACCTTCCCTGTGTTTCTCAGGATTGCTTACTATCATACCTTATATAGCTTAACCAACTACTGGTTTTGTTTTTTGTTTTTTGTTTCTGTTTTTTTGCTTTTTGTGTCACACCTGGCAATGCACAGGGGTTACTCCTGGCTCTGCACTCAGGAATAACTCCTGACGGTGCCTGGGGGGAACCATATGCAATGCTGGGAATCGAACCCATGTCGGCCGCGTACAAGGCAAACGCCCTACCCAGTGTGCTATCGCTCCAGCCCCAACCAACTAATGTTTTAATGTAATTATTTTTCATTACATACCCAGATGGAAAAAAAGTGTCATGTACATGTAAAGAAGCCAGTAAAAGTGAGTTGCAATGAAGCACATGCACATATTAGAAACAGCATTATTAAGTTTATAGAATGTTGATTACTTAAAAGGACCATAAGTAAACCATATAATTTCCTAAAAAGAGAGGCAAAATTCAAACTAAACAGAAGTAACACAGACAAAAAACTCAAAATGCACCAGTATTCTAATTCTCCCTTGCCTAAGATTTATTCCTCTTTCCGCCTCTTACTGTTTTTGTCCCTTGCATTGAAACTATTTTTTAAGTGGGACTATTTGGTAGACTAGAAGAGTATAATGTTCATAAGTACATCTATAATATCAATAATATGCAACTGACTTCAAGACATTTTTGAGAGTTCGGAATTGAATTTCAACATAAAGTTCCAACATTAAAGCTAGAAGTATACATGAAATTCTTTTAAACATAGTTAAAAATTACTTTCTATGAAACACATTGTTGGCATACTTTTTGTCTCATGGAAACGGAAACATTTTTTTTCTAAGCCACCACCACAAAACCAAAAAGGGAAAGGAAGGAAAGAACTGAGAGGAAGGAAGGAGGGAATGAGGGAAGGAGGAAGGGGAAGCGGGAAAAGGAGAGAGGGAGGGACATATATTATCTTGAAAGGAAAACCAAAAAAATCGCAAATAGCCTTAACATTACCATCCAGGAAAGTCTGTTCAAGATAATCAATGATCTGAGTGGCCTCACAAATTATGTTTTCCCCGTGGATAAGGACAGGCACTTCTCCAGTTGAGTTCAAACGCATAAACCAAGGCTCATTGTGCTCACTCAAGGGCAGACTTACATCATGTTCCTCGCACTTCAATGCCTTTTCAGCAATTACCAAGCGCACCTGGAAGAGTCCGCAGTGGTTACTACAACAGTATGTAGGTGCTCAATTAAATGACATCCCTGGACACAATAAGCACTTCTATTTCCCCCCAAACACCTCTATTTCCCATACTCTTTTTGACTTTTCCTGTTCCTGAAATTAACTAGTGGGGTATCGTCAAGCGTCTTACACGTACCAAGTGGAAAAGATGATAAAAATAATTATAATAATTTATGAAAATAATTTCAGTTACATTCATTCGGCAGCCAGGTTCCCCATCACCACTTTGGTAGGGGCCCTAAACCTAATCAGGTCCTCCCCAGATTTTTAAAAAAAAAAAAGCGAAATACACAAATGGTAGGCCTTGTTGAAAAAAAAAAAAAGACTGTAAACAAGAAATACTAAAGGAGGGAACTGTGGATTTCGCGTCACTGATCACGGTGCTTTTCTCTGCCTCCCTCCCCACGGCCCGAGGGGACCAGGCCTCCATCCCACATGGCAAAGGTGATGTTTTCCTGCGGCCTTCCGTGAGTTGCAACTCCAGGGAGCTCGGCGGGCTCCTCGGTTCTCCCTGCAGGATGCAACATCCCCGGGAGGGAGCGCGGCCGCCTTTGGGCCCTTAGGAGACAGGAGACGGCGGGGAAGGGGCCCGCCCGGGCTCCCGGGAGCTGTCCTGGTGCTGAAACCCGATCCGCGCCGCCGGGCCGTCACCTTTTGAGAGCTGAAGGAATGCGTCCAGTGGTAGAGGATGAGCTTCACCTCCGCGTCCGCCTTGTCCTCTCCCATCGGGGGCGCATCCCCTCTCGGCTCCTCCGGCCTCTGAGCCATTGCGGGGTGCGAGAGCGCGCGAGGGCGTCACCTGTCCGCCCTGGGGCCCCGGGCAAGCAGAGCGACGTTGCTCTTTCTCCTACACCGCACAGCCTCCCCCAGCGGGAGAGAAGAGTTCAGGGAGACGAACAGATCACTGGGAAGTGTAGTTTCCGCCGTGGGAAAGCTGGGGAACAGAGTCTGAAAAGGTGCGGGGGCGTCTGCCAGGATGCAGAGCCTCTGGAACGCCACCGCCCTCTGCCAGGTTGCAGTTAAATCGGTTTCCCAGGAGGCAATCTGAAAATGAGCCCCCGGTTATTCAGATGAGTCATGAATAGTGTTGATCGCAAGTTAACCTTTCGGTGCAGCTCGAGTATATGTTAGGCAGCAGTTGCTGTTTCGGTTGAGTAAGGCTGGAGGGTTTCTGTTGAAGACTGCGTGTGCCTTTTGTAGAAAGGAAAGAGCAATTGACGCACAGAAACAGGAGGAAGATCTCGGTTCTCATTCAAAGATGCTGGAGTAAGGCCAAGACTGTGGCTCAGGGGCAGAGCATCCGCCTGGCATGCAGTAGGCTCTGGGTTCCATCCCCACCACCAAAACTAAAGAAACAACATCAAAAACACGTAACAAGAACAACAAAAGGATTCAACTACGGAGTCACACAAAAAAAGAACAATTATAAGCACAATAATAATGTTTTGTGGATAACAATGAGGTAAAATAGCTACTAAGCATAGATATTTTAGAGCCAAATTACTTGCTTTTAATAAATATTCTTTTTTTTCAATTTGCTCAACTTTCTTTTTGTGATTTGCAAGTTTATTGATAGTTGAGCTTTAGGCATATCATATTTCAACACCAAACCCACCACCATTGTCAACTTTCCTCAGCCAGTGCCAATTTGCTCAACTTTTAAAATGTGATAATTGGGCTGGAGAGATAGCACACCGGGTAGGGCGTTTGCCTTGCACATGGCGGCCGACCTGGGTTCAATTCCCAGCATCCCATATGGTCCCCTGAGCACCGACAGGAGTAATTCCTGAGTGCATGAGCTAGGATAACCCCTGCATCACTGGGTGTGACGCAAAAAAATAGATAAATAAATAAAATGTGATAATTCCATTTTCCTCAGGATATTTTTGTGAGAATTGCATCATTAATTACAATATGAAAATACTCACTACAGACAGCCTAGGCATTCAATATTTTTCACAAATTCAATTGCCTTATAAAAATGCTCTGTGAACATGGTCAGAATCATAATTTTATACAACTCTAGCTGCTATTGCACACCTCATCTGGTGGGGAGAGAGGGGGGAGGATTAGACACACCCAACTGTGCTCATGGATTATTTCTGGATCTTCATTCAGGAACTACTCCTGTTGGTGTTAGGGTGATCGTATGGAACTCCAGGAATCGAACGTGGGGTGGGCAAGGCAAACACCCTACCCGTTGTGCCTTTCCTAGGGCCCTGGTGCTCACCTGTTAACTTCTGACATCAGGAGGGCCAGAGTGATAGTACAGCGGGTTCAGGCTCATGCCTTGCACTTAGCTGTCCAGGGTTAGATAGTCGGCATCCCATATAGTCTCCTGAGCTGGCCAGGAATGATCCCTGAGCACAGAGCCAGGGGTAAGTCCTGAGCACTAGCCCAGAACAAAAAAAAAAGGCATCATATTAAATTAACAAAATTGATTTGCGTCAATATGTATATTACTATAAAATGAATGCTCTCATAAGTCATTCAATGAGTACTTAATGGCACCAGTCATGTTAGTGGGCTCTGGAAGTACAAAAATGTATAACATCCGATATAACCAAAACTTAAGTCTGGTGGGATAGACAATAGAACAAATAAACAACAACATAGAGATGAGGATTGTCTGTCTTAAGGTGAGTACGAGATACTGTTAGAAAAGAGAAGCAGGCATCCAACTCAGGTGAAAAGGATAACCTGGAAGAGACAAAATCTCACAAGGTTCTGCCTCCTCTTCACAACGTCTCATTTATTGTTCTCTACTGTTATTTTCTAGTTCTCAGTGATTGTATAAATGTCTCTTTATATTTCTAAGATAATTGAACTTTCGAAACAAAAGTTACCATTATTCTTTTATTTTCTGTAATCAGTTCACTCTTTAGAGAAGGAGGAAAAGCAAAACTTTGACATGAGAATGAGTGGTGTTGCCAAGAATAACCGAGATAAGTACCAGGAGGTTCACTCCATGGCTTGGAGGCCAGCTGTACATGCTAGGGGGAAAGGCAGCTCAGATAGAGAAGGGAGCACCAAATAAAGGGTGTCGGGAGGATCCTCCCAGGATGGGAGATGCATGCTGAAAGTAGACTATAAACCGAACATGATTGCCACTCAATGCCTCTTTTGCAAACCACAGCACCCAAAAGGAGAGAGAGAACAAAAGGGAATGCCCTGTCACAGAGGCAGGGTGGGATGGGGGAATAGGGGGTGGAGGGATACTGGGATCAGTGGTGGTGGAGAAAGGGCACTGATGGAGTGATGGGTACTCAATCATTGTATAACTTAAACCTAAGTACAAAAATTTGTAAGTCTACAACTGTACCTCATGGTGTTTCACTAATAAATTTTTTAAATAATAAAAAAAATTAAAAAAAGAAAGAGAATGAGTGGAGTTGAAATTTGGATAAGCTGTCACTTCATCATGTGTAAAAAACATAGACTGTGTAACCGCTGCTTTGGAAATTCCATGTGATAGTGTATATAAAGAAAAAATTATTCAGGACTATGTCAGAAGTATAACATAAAATGATTAAATTGAAATCACTGCATCACTGTCATCCCATTATTCATCGATTTGCTCGAGCGAGCACCAGTAACATCTGCATTCATCCTAGCCCTGAGATTTAAGCAGCCCCTCCTTACTCATCCTTCCCAACAGTGCCTCATTGGAGGCTCTTTCAGGTCAGGGAAATCAGACACATCATTGTTACTGTTTTGGCATATAGTGGGTAGGGTGTTTGCCTTACATGCGACCAACTTGGGTTCAACTAAATTTAAATATATTGAAAATTGAATATAATGCTTAATGATAAATATATATGACTTTAGGATACAAATATTCATAGATCTTGTGAAGATAAATTTATTAATATGCATCAAAATAAGCTTGAATTGGCATAATCATTTACCCATTCGTCTGGGAATTTAGTCCTGGAAATGCTGTAACAAATTCTAAGTTAGCCTTTAAAATCTGTTTCCAACTTCTTTGATGATAATAGAAATTTTATCTAAGCACTTGGCTTTTGAGAATAAAAGCTGCATTTCCTAGGCTCCACTGCAGCTAAACTCACAGGCTTTTATCTATGTTCTAATAAATGGAATGAAATTGATGTGCTTCAAGGCAAATTCTGGAGAGCTGCCTTAAAGAGACTGCTGGTCCTGTGCCTCTTCTTCATCCCATCCTCTATTCAGCTTCCACAACAGTAATTGCTGGCTCAGACCAGAATGAAATGGGCCACACCCTAGTGATAACCTTAGTCTGAGCTGGAAGAAAATTGAATTTTCAGAATAGACATAGGGAGGCAGACTTCAGGCTGCAAAACTCCAAACTTTTGCTTACAGGAAAACAAAGCATCTAGGTTCAAGTCAATGTTATTTGGTGCTCCCTGAATGCTATTGCCTAGTGTCTTCTCACCAAAACATCATCCCTGTAATATACAGCCAGCTTTCTTTCTATGTGCTTCTATTCTTTGTGATTTTTCTATAATGAATATGTATTTGCTTCTGTTACCTCTTAAAGAAATGATTTAAACAGGAGAGAGAGTCCAGTGGATAGGATGCTTACCTTGCATGCAGCCTACCCGGGTTCAAAACCTGGCATTATTGAAAGATCCCCCAGCCCCACCGGAAGTAACTCCTGACCACAAAGCAAAGAGTAAGTCCTGAACACAGCCAGATGTGGACTACATCAGACAGAAAAAAATTCATTGCACAGACAAGAAAACATGATAGTGTCTTCTTCTTGTTGTTTCTTAATCGTAATGAGGTAGAAAGAGAATTGCTACATCTGCTTTCCTTGACTGAGAACTCTTTTATTTTTATTTATTTATTTATTTGTTTATTTATTTATTCATTTGCTTTGTGGGTCACACCAGCGATGCATAGGGGTTACTCCTGGCTCTGCACTCAGGAGTTACTCCTGGTGGTGCTCAGGAGACCATATGTGATGCTGGGAATCAAACCCAGGTCGGCCGCATGCAAGGCAAACACCCTACCTGCTGTACTATCTCTCCAGCTCCGAGAATTCTTATTAGTTTCCATCCCAATCAAAATCACTGGTTGGTAATACCAAAAATGCATTCATTCACAGACTTGCTCAGAGCATCTATTATTTTGTATGTGCATTTCATTTTGATTTGATTTCTGTGCTGGGGGTGGAGGACGGGGCTACTCTCAGTGCTGTGCTTGGACTCCTTTCGGCAACTGCTTGAGGGACCTTTTAAGTACCAAGGATAAAAGGCAAGGCCTCCCATATGCAAAACCTGTGCTCATCCCATTACGTTGTCTCTCTATGGCCCTGTGTGTGTGTTCTGTAGCTGGGGTGTCTCTGAACATCATAACATTAAATTGTGGGCTCCTGAAGAACAAGAGCTAGAGTCAGTTTAGTGTATTTTTAAAATGCATCTACTGAGCCCATCTGTTCATAAACAGTGCTAAGTCCAGAAAACATAAAGGTGAAAGCCACAGCCCTGAGGAACTCAAATGTACAGGAGAGAAAATTGGGATTTCAACACAGTAAAAGGGTATTTTAACACAGTAGAAGAATTCGTTTGACATCCAGGAGATTGTTAGAAATATAGAAAAGGTACCTAACCCATCATCTTTCCAAAAGAGATGATGTTACTTTAACCACAAGCAGCACCATATTGGTGCTATTACTATGCTATTGCTATTATACTCAGTTGTGTAACCACTGACTCATGTTAGCTTGTGAGAAACGACTGTTCAAATTTTAGGAATTTTACAACCAGGATGCTCAACACAGCCACTATTAAATATAAGACTGAATTTCAATTTTAAAAAATTAAATAG